ATCTGACTCTTTTAGTTTTAGGACTTACAAACAACCGTTATGTGAACAAAACTATAATACTCTCTTTAGCAACTTTGTTGCGAGAGTATAAAAATTTTGCAAATTCCTAAATTTATATTCCAATGGTATCCATAAGGAAAACAGATAGATAAGATGCCAGTTTAATTTTACTTCTTTACTTGCGAGTGGGTACAACCCCTTAGATATCAAGATTTAATCCGAATTGGGTCCCAATAAAGAATTTGCTTAATTTAGTTTGACAATTTTTATAAAACTTCTTCTTAATCGGCACCTTATATAATTTTATCCGCGTTTAAACATTCGACGTGAATATCGACTTCATCGCCATTATCTATTAACCGTAAAATTCACTTCAAGTCACATTGCTCTAACTTACCTCTTATATAGAGCTTGATGAATATTTGAATGATTTTAATAATAATATGATTGTCCAATATCTAAATGAATAGCCCTATAAATAAATATGGAAAAAGTAATTAGGTAACATAACAAAAAGAAATTTAAATCGTATAAAACTTATATCTACAAAGGTTAATGACTTTTTATCAGTTTTCGAAACTTACATAACTTACTTATACAGCATGATATATGTATACATAAATGCATGAATTCTTTTGACTCAAATTGTGATCTGAGATACCTCGTCATAAACCTAATACAAATATTAGAGAGCCAATTGCAATTTCTCTTTCGCTCGCTGACCAGACTTTTAATATGATTTAGCAGCGAAATAAGTTACTTAGATATAGTCAGACTAGGGCTCGCCTTAGCGACTTCTTCAACTTATTTTGAGTTATATCTAGGATAAGTTAGGTCGTAGTCTCCAAAATCGATAGATCTCACTTGAAAAGAGATTTGTGCATTTGGAAAAGTTTCACTGTCTTACATTTAGGCTCAAAGTCGATTTTTTTGCTATATGTTATTATATGCACAATGAGCAATCGTGTGAAAAATTAGCCTCACAAATTCAAGCTGATTTACCTTTTTGTGTTCCCAAAAACTCCTTAAACTTTATCTCCATATAGATAGATATAGATCAAGGAAGCTTACCACAAATTATTAAAGCAATTAATAGCAATGCCAGCCAAGCTTTTCAAAGGTGTTTCTATCTAGATATTTCAGTTTCAGTCTGGTTAAAGTGGGGCAATAGAGGTGATCTTGTCCCTGATGACTCCAACTCGCCTTCCTCCATACAGCTTTTGCAAAGAGCGTCCGACAAACGATTTAGGTGCACGCAAATATATATCTAATCATATCTGTAAAGGAATACCCAACTAGAAATTTGGTTTGGTATCTAGCGATCACTACTAAAATAAAGAAATTAACCAAAAGGCGATTTCTTTCCGAGTTCACTTCAGCGTACCAACTTTGAATCTATTCGTTTCCTTTTCTACTAATAATCATCAGCAAGTTTTGTTAGCTCAAATACTTTAAGATTATGGAAGGCTTCGATTTGAACGAAACATTATAATTTTTTTAAATTTCAGCAATGCGGAGACCGAAGTTTCAACTATGTATTCGATTACAGAAAAATCTCTTTACTTTCGTCGAAAAATTGAAAAAACAAAACTTCCTGAATTTTGAAGTGTTGCTAAATTGAGTTAAGTTGAGGGTGTGAGAAGTTTGATTAGCTGCTAATTTTTCGTCAGAACCTTACATTTTTCTCTTCAGAGTTAGCTATACGCGTTAGTCTTTACCAAAAATACTAATTATCAGTGCTGAGTTAAGTACAATTTAAATCTTAATTGCCAACAAATCTGATTTCTGAAGCTGTATTTAGTTGAATTTCTGCCCTAATTGTTCCAACTGTTTATCTAAACTGAGCAAATTTTTTACACAATTATCTAAGCTGTTCAGTAATAATTTCGTAAGCTGAATTTAACTCGATTGACATCTTAATTATGTCAGCTGTCAAATATTATATTAACAGTGTATGCTAAATTGAGCTGAATTAACATCTTAATTGCCTCAGCTTCTAAATCATAGATTTTATCTAAATTGAGTTCAAATTATGTTTTAAGTGCGCAAACTATTGCTCGTATACTAACTGTTTAAGATAAATTGAATTGAGCTTACATTTAGTTTGCTAATTATATAAGAGATTGAGATCACTACTAAATATTAAGGACAATGTTTAATTAGCATCAAAATGTTAAGTTAAATTGAGTACAATTTACACATAATTGCTTTATTAATCATATACCATATATATATGATAAATTTAGTTCAATTTACGTCTTAATTGCCTCAGCTTCTAAACACTAGAATTTAGTTAAATTTAGTTCAAATTTCATCTTAATTTTCTTATCAATCAATTATTAACCGCATATGATAAATTGAGCTGACTTACGTCTTAATTGCCTCGTCTTTGAAATACTAAATTTAAGTTAAATTGAGTTCAATTTAGGCTCTTATAGCCTCAGCTGTTAAATATCAAGAGAGGTCACTCAACTTTATTCCTTTATCGCCAACTAATTGACCAGTGCGAATACGGCGCTACCAAACTGTTTGAAAATCTTAGTGGTTGAACACAAAAACAATTTATATTAATTGTATAATTTATTTTTAATTTATAAATACATAGTTATTAACAATAAATATAAAATATGGGTATATTAGTAATGTAATAAATATTAATTATTTGAGTTTAAAATACATTTTGAAGTTTTTAAATATTCCACTATATAAAAGTGATCAAAAATAAATCATGTCAACATTTAATATCAATTTTCGTAACTTAGTTCGTTGGTATTTATCGATATTTGGTTTTCAATCTCATTAATTTATAGTTTATAGATCGACGCCTGACAAATTTTCTGAAACTTTATTCATAAATATTTAACTAATATGCACACGGCAGCATTTTGCATAATTTTTTGAGTGTATAAATCGCCTCACCGCATTTCCACCCCTTTTCACATAACAGCCAGCCAACTGAAGTTATCACTTAGTACTTTACAACACCTTCACTTCTTTATGTCCACCGCATTCAACGTGTGCTCAGGTATTTGCTCCCACAGCTCCTTCAATTTATTGCCGATATTCGCCGGATTCTTCTTCAATACCGTGTCCTTCGCTAGCAGCGTGTCAGCAACGAAACTCTCCTCCAAATCCTCCGCCGAATTGCTGGCAACCGATGACTCTGCCTCAAGTGATTCAATAGCGTGCTGTTTGTGTTAAAAATAACTAAATTAAATATGCGCATTTATAATGAAATACTTATGTGCGTATTTATTGCGTTTTTTTTTTTTTTGTTTTTTAATTTTTGCGCGCCATAAAAACCCGACCTTTCGAGTACTCACCGTGAACCTTGGCACACTGGCTATGGAGTAGGTGCATATTGCCAGTAAGAACAGCATATGTACTAAGGTAAAGCGAGAGTGACGGCGTGTAGAACGGACTTGCGAGGTAAACATTTTTAGAACTTTTTATAATATAAGTATTATGCAATTTTTTTTTAATTTATGTATA